GTCACAAAGCAGGAGAGGGGCTGGGAATTATGTTTTCAAACAAAGCGTTAATTCCATTAACATTTATAGACTACTTTTGATTCTCACTGTATTACGGGACAAAGTGCGTCCCTTATTAGCTCAATACGGGACGTGTACTTTTGTTTCGAAATACGGGACGATTCCGTATTTTACGGGACGGTTGGCAACCCTACCTGGCTGAGCTGGTGACCCAGGTATGCTGCAGAAGAGCAGCATACAGCCTCCTGTCTGCTGTCCTGTCAAGACAGCAAAAACAACCCTGAAAGCTGTCTGAGGCTGATGTGCTTCCTTTTCGGGTCACTGAAGCTGAGGTTGAGCGTTGCACATACAGTTCTAGGTTTTCATGCTGCTCCTGTCTCTGTCAAAGGTTTCTTACTTTTATGCTGTAAAGACCACATCAATTCAAGCTGTTACCCTCTCACGTGTTGATGCTGATGTTCCAGAACAATGGCGGCTGTCATCGGAATGCCCGGTGCAACATGACAGGTCCAGGCACTCAAAGCTGCACCTGCAGGCAAAATTTCATCGGCGACGGTGTGACCTGCAAAGGCACTGTGGCGAGGGTGAGCAGCTGAAATACAATGAAAGCGGCGCCGCAGGGCTTTGCACTAACTGTTGTCTCGTTACAGGAAATAGAGACACGTCGACACACGGACTTTTACTTTGGTCTGATGGTGAGTAGTGCTCCCCTCTGTCGCCCCCTGCTGGTGGAATTGCATTAACAGAACTCTGTTTTCAGATGATGGAGATTTCCCTGCAAGGGCGAGGGCCATTCACTGTCTTCATTCCAGACCCCGAGGCCTTCAGGACAAACACTTCACGCGAGGTCAGACCTTTGGTTACTGCTGGACAAACATCAGCGTGTCTTTGAAGACACACTGTAATTACATCAGAGTCTGGTCAGCTCAGGATGAATCAGAAATTAACAAGTTTGTAATTTTATCTTTTAGATGAGACGGAAGAGAGAGCGGTACGCTAATGTCCTGCGCAGCCACATCGTCATGTGTCACACTCTCCTGGCTGCTGACCTGAGCCAACCACGAAACCTGACATCGCTGTCTGGACTCGTGCTGACCACCAGCATCACCCAGGTCAGCCCTCAGCTGGTTTAATAGATTTATGTCTATATTTATGAATCCTGCCGATAAACAAAGGCCGAATCGATGCTTTATTATAAACGAGCATTCTTCAGTTTTATTTCTGTTATTGGGACACTTTGTGTTTGGCTTTTTTTTTTCAGGGCAGTGTCTTCATCAACCAGGCAAATGTGACAAAGAGCGATGACCTCAGTGTGAATGGAATCATCCATGAAATTGACAGGATTCTGTATCCTCCAGATGTGG